CTAGCTGCTTTTTACAGCTTCTTATTATCTTTAGGTTTGCATTTTTTAAAATTTAGCTGACAATGTTTGATGCTTCATGTTTCCTCTATCTATGGATTCTGTCATTATTTAATTGTAAAAAGTCCCAACTTTTACCTCTCTTTTATAATTCCACAATTCTACTTTAATGTAGTCCTTCTCATCCTATCACCCATGTTTGTTATCTTGCTTCCATATTTTCTGTATCTTTTATTCCAGCTCACCGATTCTCCTTCAGCTACGTCGAATCTGATGTGTGTTCATTTCAACAATCATCTTTTTCATTTCTAAAAGTTCTACTTAGTTCTTGTTCAAGGATACCTAGTTAATTTTGATATTCTCTTATTGACTTATTCTACTTACTTTTTTCTATAAATATTTCATACTTAGATACTGCATAGGACATTTCCAGTACATTCTCAGGCATTTATATCTGTAATTTTTCATTTGCTTTTTGTCTCCGAGGACTCTCAGGGTTAATGGTTTGTGTGCATTTCAGTGTTTGCTTATAAGCTTAGTATTTGTTTGAAAGTGATACATGGGAATTCTGAGAGTTTTCCTCAGAAGAAATCTGTGCTTCTGTTGGAAACCAGGGGCTGCTAATGACATGGGATCACATTAGGTCCCTTATCAGGGCTTAAAATGGGACACACATTAGTATGGTAGGTCCTGGGCTTGGTTTCCAGCGCTTAGCATTGACATCACAGTTTTGCATCTCATGGTTGGCTTTAGTTCTCTGATTTTCTGTTTTGTAGGGTTTTTTTAGTTTGGGGGAGAAGTGTGCAGAGGGGAGAGTTCCTAAATTTGATGAGCCCAATAATATATTTGAAAATGTGTTTTATCCAAGAACAAAATGTATTCCAAAAGGAGAGTCCTCTTGAGTAGCTCTGCTGGGTATCAGTCAGAACAGCTCCTACTGGACACACTTACTGATCTCATTTACACCACTCAGCAATCCTCAAGACAATTTCATTCTTACTTGAGAGATGGGAAGTTAAGAAACTAACGTTACATAGCCAATAAGTAGAAGCACACATTAGTACTGGCACCAGAACTTGAACACCAATCCATCTACAGCCAGACTTGGGCTCCTCACCACTACGTAATATTGTCTCTCAGACACAAATTCACGAAGATCTGTACCTTTCCAGAGGCATCTCTTCCCTATCTTCTACTTGCTCCCTCCAGTTCCAATTTTAGTATCTGCTTTTTAATTCTCTTCTATCATGACAGACGTTAGACTGAACAGCTATCAGAGGCTGCCAAGCCTTGATGCAAACACTGATAAGCTGCTCTGAGTTTGGAGAGAAAAGAAAAAAGAAGTCATCCGGCAGAACAGATACGGAAGTTCAGGAACATAGTCTAAGATGTGAGTCATATAGAATTTTAAAGAGAAACTGCTATAATCTTCTTTAGACCAAATATTTTCCTCAATTCTCGAATTATTTTTTAAAGTACATAAATAAAATAAATAATTGTTCTCCCTGCTAATATCACTACACTGGATGAAGTCTGTTCCAGTTGTATGGGAAGACATTACCCTTATTTGATATTTGATATTAAGAACCTCAACATAAATACTGGGGTCTCATATCAAGTCCTCCTAATGAATTAAAAGTTATGCATTTTCAAATTTTAAAATGTTAACTCCACCACTGACTTAGACTCCATTTATTCTGAAAACTTTGTTTCCTAATTCATGTCAGCTTAAAAAAAAAAAGAGTAAATAAATCTTCCCACCTAAATATTCCATTAATACTGTTTTGAAATACCTGTTACTAAAAAAGTCATCTCCTCATCCTAAGACCATAAATATTTTAACTTACACCAAAGGAAAAAAAAAATCTCCTTTTATGAGACAATTCAAACTACGTCATTCAAATATGGTTTGTAAAATTTGGCTATTTATTCACTTACTCATTCATTCCATACATATTTGATCTGCATATCTTGTATGCCAAACAACATGCCGGGGGCTCGGGAACACAGATGAAAGATTTCTGACCCCAAGCTACTCACACCTATACTAATAACACCTCTGATATGCTTACATGGAAACACACACAGATCCTGCTGCTCTTTGCTAGTTGTAGCAAATAATCATTTCCCAAGTTGGAGCTTCAGAGTTTAAAAATGAATTCTTAATTTCATAATAGGACAATCTATTAAGTTTCAGTTTTTATCTTTAACAATCATTTACTCTGATATATACTGGACTCCTGCTATGGACAAATGGCTAATTGAGTTTTCAGCTCTACTGAAAAACCGTTTTAAAACAAGCTTTGAGAACTCTCATCTCTATTTTTACATCATGCTACTGTAGAATGACTCAGGCTCGGCCAGTAAGTTTTAAACATTTGTGAGTAATGGAACCCATGGAAAATCGGATGAAAAAATGCACATGTATGAAATTTTTGTATACATTTCAGAAGTGGTTCAGGGAACCCCTTAGGCCCTGGTACAGACCATTCAATAGGACCATGGTAATGCCTGCTGACTGTGAGCAACCTCAGGGTGTAAACTTCAGTCACGTCTCATTCAAGTTAGTACTTCTTGTCCCAGAGCAGATTTCAAAAAGTATTGTTGAATGAGTACCTTGGCAACACTGTCCTCAGGAAGCTTCCATGATTATCTCCCTCTTCCCCCTAAACTTCCAAATCCTCAACTTCCACTTACATACTTTTCTAAAACTTACTTGCTCAAGCCTAATCTGACAGTCTAGGCGACTCTTTCCCAGACTCTATGTCCATAATTTTCCCTCCTCCACTTCACAAAAGGCATACCTCCTACCACCCAAATGTTACAATGACGCATTGTCCCAGAGTATAAAAACCACTCAGGCCAGAAAAAAAAAAAAAAAAAAAATTCCAAGATACACAGTGTCTGAGGGAATGTCCCTTGAGAAAAAGCAAAAAGATCCTTATAAGAACTACAAGAGGTCATACCTCGTTTTATCCAGGGGATAAACTCTTGGCAATTCCCATACTTTGTTTACATGTTGAATAATTAGAATTCAGAGGTAAGATGATTATATGGGTTAGATATTAACACTTATACTTGAATTAAAAAGGGATCAGCTTTTTTTCTGACAGAAAGCTCAACTTATGAATTATTCCGACAAAGTATACTGAGGACATGTAACATCCAAAGAGCTAAATCTGCACTTTTGAGATTTTGGCAATATATATGTAAAGTATATGCACAACACAGAATACACTGAAAGTACATACTTGGTGACAATTTAAGCTGATGCCAAGAATTTTAGATAACTTAAAAACGGTCAAGGAAATAATGATGGGTTTTTAAATTTTTTTTAAGATTTTATTTCTTTATTTTGAGAGAAAGGGTGTGCAAGCAGGGGATGGGGCAGAGGGAGAGGGAGAGAGAGAGAATCTCAAGCAGGCTCCATGATGAGTGCAGAGTCTGATGTGCAGGGCTCTACCTCACAACCTCAAAATCATGACCTGAGCCAAAATCAAGAATTGGACGTTCAACTGACTGAGCCACCCAGGCACCCCTGGATTAAATTTCTTAAATAAGAAAATTGAAACTATAAATGCGCTAGAAAAATACAGGACAACATTTTTTGCAACGGAAGGGATGTGTGGAAGTAAGATCAAAGAAAGATTTTTTTAAAAAGAAGCCATAGAGGAAAAGATTATCAAATTTCATTGCATAAAACATATTAAATTTTGAAAGGACAGCAGTTAAAACATCAATGATAGGCTGGAAGAAAATATTTGCTACATATACAGCAAACACATCTATAACATAAACAGTTAACACCTCTAATATAAACAGTTCTTATAAACCAACAGGAAGATATTTTTTAAAAAGAAAAATAGCACAAAATGAGCAAAAAATACAAGAAGGCAATTCACAGAGAAAATATTAACAGTCAACAGTCACTCAGCCCTTGCTGTAGTCAGAAAAAAATGTATAGTAAATAAAAAATAATATATCATCTCTCACCCAATAAATTGCCAAAAATTTAAAAAATGAATAGTACATGATGTTGTTTTTAGGACTGGGAAACAGGCAGTCTTATCCTTTACAAAAGAGAAAGTAAATGGTACATTTTGGAGAGGTGATTTCACAGTATCTGCCAAAATTAAAAAAAATGTTTGGTCGCATTTCTGGATATCTTTTATATGGGAATGCTTCCTTGTGAACCAAAACAGTGCAGCATTGCTTATGAGGTGACACACATGTGCAGTCACCTGGGTACGACTCCCTTGGATGGCAAGAGCCTGAGCTCACCACATCTGAGATTGCAGTTCTAACTGCTAGCTAGGCAGGAGAGTGTTAAGGCAACGTTTGACTTCTCTTTTCACAGAGATTGAGTCATTCTCTACACTGAACAATCCTTGGAGAAACAACCCATAGTTTACTGATGGGCTCTGTCAACTAGAGACCAACCCCCAAAAGCTCCCACAGCAGCTGTCGAAGATCTCCAGAATTGATCTGGGAGCAAGAATTTTCCGTCTGCTCTCCCAAATCTGATTGAACGCAATATAATGTAACGTAATATCGTCATGATTATATATTCCTGTATATTCTGACAATTTTGCTATTTTCATGCATACATATGCAGTGGATGGGGCATTTTTGTTTTTATTCTTTAACAAAACTACTATTAATAGGAGTGCCAATCAAGGAGTTGGGAATAAAGCCAGCAAGTTAGAAAGTAGAAATGAGTAAGCAGGTGATTGTATCGCTTCTCTGAGTGAAACAACGGATTCTCATGTTATTTCTACCATCTCTAAAGGCAAGAAACAGAATCCCAGAAGAGGCATAAATAGTGTTTGGATTCCCATAATCCTGCTTAGTTTATTTACAATTCCCTCCTTCATCCTTCCTGCCTGTCCAGATGGTTTTCTTCTTTGTTTCTCAAACTGAATTATGTGCACTGCCTTAAGATGTTAAATACTTCAAAGGCCTTCCTCTTCAGTTCCTCACAAACAGAAGTCATAAACTCTTACCTTTGCCGAATTATGCTGGGGTTAGCGGTCACTAAATGACTTTTGGATCCAACATCTTTAGTGTATTCACTTGACAAAGGAGGAAGATTGCATCTAGAGAAACAAAACATTTTAGAATGATTTATAAACTTTTAAATCAATTATCATGACAAATGGGAATTTTCCTAGATCTAGCTCACCCACAAATAATCAATTTTATCACCTCTCCCTTTTAACAATCATTAGATGACTAACTATAACCATCTTCAAAATGCAGTCATAAAAATGAGTCCTGTTTTAAAAGAAAATGTCAGCTAGAGAGTTAAGTAATCTATTAAAAAAGAGACATTAACTAGGATGAATTTATTCCATTCAAAATATTTTTGAGTTGGTAGGACAGGAAGTATTAGGCTTGAAACTAGAGCTCAGGAGGGTGTGGTATACTAGGACACAGGGCTGGCAGTGTTCTCTGTATACCCAGAAACCTCAAGACACAGGTAAGAATTGTATTTGCTTGTGGTTTTCTTTCTGTTTCCAAATCCTAAATTATAACAGTACATTCATGGCAAACTCTGCCACCTAAATCAATGCATGTCCAACTTCTGTGTACATGACCAAAGTATGCGTTGACTACTGGTGGAACAGGGTGATTTGTTATCTCAAGAAATGCAATGATTTTCCACTGTCCCAGTTCAGCCGAGGGAAAGCGTACAGGTGATGTTTTCTTGGTGACAAAAATAACTCCCCTCTCTCTCTCGTTCAGTCTCTCTCTCTTTGTCTCTCTCTCACATACACACACACACACACACACACATACCCATACAACCACCCCAGCCCTTATTGCTTTCCTTGGCCACAATGTCTTATGAATGTTTGCAGTGGAAAATAGGGCAACTACAAATCCCAATCCCATGGCTTTCTGCCAGTGGAACTTCAGGCAAGTTAATTCATCTGCCTGGCCTTTGTTTCCTCATTACACAAAATGAGGATAATGACTTTTCTTCTCCAAGGAGCTTGTTGTCAGGATTACAGTAAGAAATGTATAAGAGGTCCCTACCTTGATACCTCCTCCATAGTAAAAACTCAAAAATATTGTGTATCGGAAATATATTTATAATTAAATATATATTTTTTATGAAGATCCTAAATGAATCCATAGTTTCCATTAGGTTTTATTACTCTGTCCTAATTTCTCCTAGTCACCCCTAGCTCTAACTTGACTCCTACCACATCAGAGCATCTCTAACTTTGACTCTTCAACAAACTAAAACATCATTTATTTGCAGGTAAAGAAATGTAGTAAACATTAAGGTCTCTGCCACTCCCCCAACTATTAAATTCACCCTACAAATTTCCCCAGGACATGGAATTGTCCAGGCAGCCACTCAGCTGATTAGCTCAAGTTCCCTGATGTTGTCTTGTATTTGTCCTGTGACTCCTACCACATCAGGGCATCTTGGATGGAACTTGTCTCAGTTGATTTGGAATCTTCCTTTCATCTGCTCAACAATAAAAAGATGCTGGCCCTTCAGGCAGCTACCCACAGATTACTTAGTCAGCCAGTTGGTGACTTTTGCTGAGTTCCCATTGAGAAAAACACAGTGGTCATTGTAAGGGGCTGGGGGGAAGCCAAGTCACAGGGCCTCCTCTTGAGGTGTCTATACTTTAATGGTCACACCATATCCAGTGTGGTTTCTGAGGACCCTTGTGAGGGAGTGAGCCTCAGCATTACCAGCCAGGCTCATCCAGCACGGGTGCTGACTATGGTCTTGTGGTTGAACTGATCTTTGATCAGTTGATGAAGGTGACTTGCAGGGTAAAACACAAGCTAAAATTTGAGCATTTACATCTATTTTTTTTAAAAGCTTTAATTATTTATTAGAGAGACAGAGAACAAGTGATGGGGAGGGGGACAGAAAGAGTCGGAGAGGAGAAGCAGACTTCCCACCAAGCAGAAAGCCCAACACAGGCTAGATCCCAGGACCCTGGGATCATGACCTGAGCCAAAGGCAGACACTTAACTGACTGAGCCACCCAGGTACCCCTGAGCATTTATGTCTTAAGGAAGCTGTTGGAGGCTACGACATGGCTGGAGTCGTGGATCAAACCAGGCCCTGACTTGTGTCTCTTTCAAAGTCCAGACACCTTGACAAGGTTAAGGACGGGAAAGCTGAGTAACACTGAGAAAGGGTCTGTGCTATCTGTCGCGCACTCGCCTATGTGACTTCCCACACACTCTCCCTACAGAAGGGAACAATGTGGTCAGGGTCATGAATTCTTAGTTGGTCTTTGTTGTTCCTGTACCTCCCTTAACCCACTCCCTGGTTGATTGTCTTGCTAATGGCTTTAGCTGAGACTACCTGGCATCACGAGGTTTGCTTGTAGTTAATGTAAACTTGTTATAGGAACTTGCGGTCATCTGACTAGATACTGATGTATTACTCCTTCTATTGTGACCTGCCTTATAAATGCTTGTAAGATGTGGAATAAAATCAGCACTGTTGGACATCCTCCTCAGTGTCCCTCCTGCCCCCCTCTTTGTCTCTTAATTTCTTTTCACCATCCTCTTACCCTCACGTTTTCCTGGTCGATTTGTCGCGCCGGCCACGACAGGAAGCTTTGATCTTAATGGTCCTTCATAACATTGAGAATCAAACACATTATATCAAAACTATAACCTCTAAATACTGCTGGAGAGTACAGTTAACCTATTTTGTCATTAATGAAACATGTCAATTTTAATGAATAGTCTGTTTTTCTGTGTGTTCCTTGTAGGTTGATCCATGGCTCATATGTCTGGGTTCCTTCATACCTTCTATCACACAGTCAAAGTTTAAGAAAAACTTCTGGATACTGACTGTTAAGTCCTACAACACAAGGAAATTGTTTTATAACAAGATAATGTTTTATAAATGCATTTCTGGAAAATAATGACACTGCATTTTGGTGTAAATATCTGTCTTAAGTTCTTCAAATGCAAATGTCTATGACACTTCCTCATAGTTCTTTTCTTAGAAAAAGCACACTGTAATTTTAGCTCTTCAATTCCTAAACTGATAATTACGTAGATCTACTTAAGAGGCACATTTAATACAAATTGTTTCTAATAAGGCATAATTCTGTAAAAGTGTTTCAAACTTTGCATTATTGCTAATGTGGCTAATGTGTCTTCGTAACTGTGCTCATGACCCTAAAAGATGTTATCACAGAATTGCATTCTTTTGGGATGCCAGGTTGGCTCAGTGGGTTAAGCATCAGCCTTCAGCTCAGGTCATGATCCCAGGGTCCTGGGACTGAGTCCTGCATCGGGCTCCTTGCTCAGCAGGGAGTCTGCTTCTCCTTCTCCCTTTAGCACTCTCCCCACCCCTCCTTGTGCCCTCTCTCTTGCCCCTCTCAAATAAATAAATAAAATATTTTTAAAATTTTTTGAAAAAACAAAGCAAATAAAAGTTAAAAATAGAACTACCCTATGACCCAGCAATTTCACTACTAGGTATTTACCAAAGAATACAAGAACACAAATTCAAAGGGATACATGCACCCTGATGTTTATAGTAGCATTATTTACAATAGCCAAAATAGGAGAGCAGACCAACTGTCCATAGTGAGATACATACATACATATATATATATATATGTGTGTGTGTGTGTGTCTATCTATATATATATCTCACCCATCAAAAAGAATAAAATCTAGCCATTTGTAGTGACATGAATGGAGCTAGAGAGTATTGTGCTAGGTGAAATATATCAGTTAAAGAAAGAGAAATACCATATTATTTCCCTCTTATATGGAATTTAGAAGACAGAGCAAATGAACATAGGGGAAAAAAGAGAGAGAGAGAGTGAGGCAAACCAGGAAACAGATTCTAACTACAGAGAACAAACTTATGGTTACCAGAGAGGAGGCAGGTAGGGGGATGAGCTGAATAGGTCATGGGGACTGAAGGATGAACCTGTTGTGATGAGCACCAGGTGTTTGTGGAAGTGCTGAATCTCTATATTGTACACCTAAAACTAGTATTACACTGCATGTTAACTAACTGGAATTTAAATAAAAACTTTAAAAGTGTTATGCATACTTAAGTATGCAAAACACACATGATAATTCCATGGCACCAAAATGATGTTGCCCTCACTTGTATCCCTGAGCCACACAAATCATCTCCAAGATGCAATCATGTTACCTTTGTCTTACAGACCTTCCAGATGAATTGTATTCAATGATATTATTTTTTAAAGTGTTTTTTGGGTTAGAGCAAATGTTTACTTTGAAAAACAAGAAAATAGAAAAACAAGAAATAGATGTTTAGCATTAGGAAGTGTAGTTGAGTGACACCTGGGTGGCTTAGGCGGTTAAGCATTTGCCTTCAGCTCAGGTCACTATCCTGGGTCCCTGGGATCCAGCCCCATGTTGGCCTCCCTGCTCATCTCAGAGTCTGCTTCTCCCTTTTCCTCTGCTCTCCTCTTCCTCCCTCCTCATTCTCTCTCTCTCTCTCTCTCAAGTAAATAAAATCTTTAAAAAAAAAAAGATAAGAAAATGTATTTGAAAATGTCTAAGCAAAGAAAATTACAATACTGTTTTATCCTAATACTGGAAAACATTTTGAACTGTAATGTGGTATATCACTGTATGTAGGTAAGGCTATTTTTGGATCTTTTCTCTCACGGTAACTCTCCATGCATCCTACAGTCTAAGATCAGACATACTATGTATTTTCTAATCATATGTACTCACTAAATGTTTAATTTTGAATTATGACTCTACCTCAATTTTCTCAAAAAATGTGTATGAAGCAACCATTTATAAGTAGATCTGTAAGTGGTCAAATGAGAATAATTTATAAAAAATTTATAACACTCAATTACTCCCATACTGTAAACCATAAACTAGGCTTTTAGAAAATTCAAATATGTTATGAAAATGGCCATATTCTTCACAGGGGTTCAAGATGGTGGCATAGGAAGACCCTGAACTGACTTCCTCCCATTGGTACACCAAATCTACAGCTACCTAGAAAATAATTCTCCCTGGAAAAGACCTGAAAATGAGCTAAATGGCAACTCCACAACAAAAGATAAAAGGACCAAATCAGGAAAGGTAGGAGAGGCAG